CTAGTGGAAATGCAATGTAAAGATGGCAAGACTTGTTCCATGTGTTCAAACATTCCATCTGCTGCCTGTCTTATGAAATTGTTTTTGTCATATTTTTGATTTGTCTGTAACAGTGTATGTTGGTGATGTTTTTTGAGAGGCTTGAGTCATGTGGCAGACTTTTTGTTGTAGCTTTATTACACTTCTGTACCCTTTCATGAGAGGTAGAATTTCTTCAGAACTGGCTTTTCAATTTCATTTTCAAAAACAGGGGACTCTAGGTTTATGTTTAGATAGAGAAAAATGAAATCAATATTTTTATGTTGTTCTTTGTCAAAGGAAAGCATTCTGCCTCTTAGGAACCTTAGATTGCTAAAACAAGCTAGAAATTACAGAAATTCAAGACTGTCAGATGTTTTTTTTTGATAACTTGGTTCATTGATAGATTGGAAGCAAGACTTAAAATAAATGTTGTTCGAAAAGAGAGAATGTGACAGTTTCATCCTTTCTTTCTTCTATGCTTCATTCGCTTTTCTTCCCTTGCCTGCTAAAGACAAGAATTTTCAGTTCCTTAAAGGACAGGTAAATCTAACTGCACTGGAATTTGGAATATAACACTAAAAGTAGTAGTACTAAAACAGCAAGGCTTGTTCCCTTTAGCACGTGGCCTCTAGAAATCTATTGTAGGCATCATAAAACTTTCCTGTCTGTCAGATTAATTGTTGTTGAGAACGGTCCTTAATATGAAATTTTCAGGTATGGTCTTGTGTCAGTTTGCAATTACCTTCTTATTCCATACTCACTGAATTTGCTGGCTTATGTGTTGAATCAGTTCCTTATGCCTTTACCTAAATGACCTTTAAGCATTTGTTGCAATTACTCTGATGCATACGTATATCTCAGCTTGAGGGTGTCAGTATTTCTCATATGCCAACAAACCCAATTAAATGGAATAAAGCAACAAACTGGAATAAGGATTTGAGATGCAACAGCTTCATGTATTCACCTCTAAGTTTCCTTTTCTCCTTCGAGGAACCACTTTGGAAACTGCAGAAAAAGTGTGTTTAAAGATAGGCCTGAAAAAGGGTAAATTGCTGGTGTGGAAATCTCACTTGGTTATTCTAATATAAATGAAAAGATTGATTTGCAAATGGAACTTATTTGCACCTCACCAGCAGACTTATGAATAACTGAGAAAGTGAGAAAATGTGGTGTTTTAAGTTCTGTTGTTCTGAGCGTTAGTTGAGAAATGGAGGTTTGTGTAGTTACTCTCAAAGTGGTGTCCTCTGCTAGCATGTTTTGACACTTTCCTGCAGCGCAGAGGTAACATTTCCTGCTCTTGTAAATTTATACTGAATCAATTGTTTCATGTTTGAAAGCAGTTAACTGTAAATATAAGCTTGTCTGGACCAGCTTCATCTGCTTTTTAATAAGGATGATTTTCTGTTCCAGTGTGAGGAAAGCAGTCAAAATGGAACTTTTTGTTTCAAAGAGATCTTGGGCCTTTGCTCAATGAACTTTCCATCTTGACTATTAATGCTGGAGGATGAATTGCCACCTTGTTCTGTGTTGCGTGGTTTCTAGTACTGATTCCAAGTTAGTGCTACTAGGAACTGTCGCAAGGTACCTTAAAAATATCCACGGAGTTCACATCTACAATCCCAGCAAGGGCCAGTATTCCAAAATGACGTGCTTATTCCTAAGTCTATCTATGTGGGAGAGCACAGACTTTTCCAGATGCTTGTTGACTTAAGGGAGCATCATTAAACATGTGGTAAGTTTCTTTCCCTTTCTTGGAACGCAGTTAAGAGATAAAGCATTATATGTAAATATAGTCAATATTACCGGTACATAGAATTTCATTTCTCTTCATCACCTTAAATGATTTAAAAGAAAAATGAGCCTTATGTAACAGGAGCTGGTGATTTTGTATTTAGAAAAAGTTTACTGCTTCTGACTAGCTTTTGAAGTATTATATACAATAATACAATGCCTACCCAAGGTAGAAGGCAGCTTTCTAGTGGAGGGAATTGGTGACTGAATTTGCTGTTGGCCAGGACTGTATTTTGCTCTTTTTCCACAAATTCATGCTTGAATTTTGTACCTCTTGTAGAGTGCAGTCTGAGTGATATTCTGCAGATTTGCTTGGCCTGGTTAGAAGTGAAAAATGGTATTACTGGTAAGATTGTGTGTTGAAAGACAATAGGTACGGAGGCTCCAAAGCTCAGCTATGTCAAGGTTAGCAGGGTATGTTTTGTCTTAGTCTGTAATATGAGTTGATCAGACATGCGTTAGTCTCTGCCAGTAGTGGCCATGCTCATATGTTGTGTACTTTTTTTGTACTGTTGTGTGCTTGCATTCTTAAAGGTAGTTTAAATTTTGTTGGGTAAACATGAATTCTAAAATCCTATTTTTTTTCTCTTAAATTTTAATTAAGTAACAGTGCAGCATAAATAAAATCTTAGATGCTTGATTTGTGATACATGATGATGGACACTTATGTCCAACTGATGTGCGAAGATTGAAGCTTACAGTGCTGCTTAAGCTCCTGATGCGATGAAATACCAGTATGTAAAAAAATATACTTGAATCTTCTTGCCCTTTTAGTATGTATTTTAACAGAGGGAGAACAGGAGCCTACTGAAGCTAATCTCAGTAGCTTGAGTTTTAGTGAAAGATGAGAGGAGTGATGAGAGGCCTGGCAGAATAACCTGTCGGTCTGCTCTCCTAAGGCTACACATGAAGCTGTCTTGTTGAGCTGTCTAAATCTCTCCTATCAGCCTCTTACCAATCCCTCTCATCATGTGGCATAGACCATGCAAGAACTTGTCCTAGTTTAACCAGTGATACTTGATTTGAAATGATGAGCAAGTAGTAACTGGTACTTGCAGCAGCAGATGGGACAAGGTTTTTGCATTTCGGTGGCCCTTGGTGGCGGTTAAAGAAGTGATGGGGTAGGAACAGGACAGGGTTTTCACCTGGGTTTGTAGCATGACCATGTAGCAGTAACTGCAGATACTTATTCTGTATGGGGAGATGAGATAAAAGCTTTTCCTTGTCCCTGGACTTAAACCTCACACCTGCAAATGAATGACTGAAGTGGTTTTGTAGGGAAGATAGTGTGATATCTACTGTATGTCCTTAGTGCTGTAACTGATATGTTCAGCTTCTGTATTCACACACAGAATATGTGACTGCTCTGCCTTCTCAGAGATTTTTGCTGAATACACTGCATTATGATTGGATTTTAGTAAGCCTTGAGCATACATCTGAACCAGTGCAAGCTATGCAATAGTTGTACTGTTACGGATTGCTTGCTTGTTTGCTTGATTTTCCTACTTCTAAGTAATTGCATAAGAAATTCATATTCAAAATGGTTCATGTCTGCTTTATAAATAACTTTGCAGGCTTTTGATGCTGTTTGCAGAGCCAGGTATGTAGAAAATAAGCATCAGTTCCTTTCAAGGCTGGATGTCAGAGTAGAAGTACTAGGATCAGTACATGCATATAGGCATAAAACAAAGTTAAAAAGAACACTGAGGGAGCAGAAAAAGGTTTGGAAACTCTTCCATAATTGCTGGCTGTGTTTTTGGGTGGCAGTCAAATTTTGTTTATTTTGGTGGTACAACTTTGAGTCCTGCAAAAACCACAAGAGAGCAGTTCATTTCCTTCTTTGCTGTCTCTACTTTGAGTGTGGTAACCTTCCTAATATGATCAAGAGTCGTATCTCTTGAGTGCAGCCTAGTCATTAAGATACTGCGATCGTGCTGCAACACCTGATAAAGCTGTGAAGGAAGGTGCTAAATCATAACATATGCTCAGCATCCAAATTGTGTGTTATTTTCTTTGCTAGTGGAGTTTGAAGTTAACATTATAGGAATTTTGCTTTTCTGGATACTTAACTTTAAATCTGAGAAAAATGATGTTGGGTGATACAGTTGTGATCCTAAACTTAATTGTGTGATAGGAATTGTAATGCCTAGGGAATAGCCATTGAACAGGACACTAAAATGAAAACTTGTCTTTGAAATGTGCAGTAAGAGCTAATATTTTTAACTTTTTAAAATAAAGCACAAATGCATATTATTGAGTTATCTTTTGGGTTCTTTTTAGGGCTTCATTCTAAATGTAATTAATCTGAACTGCTTCTAATGTTTAATCTGAGTAGGTTGAAATACCTGTGTAGTGAGAAAAATTGTGGGTGCTAAGTATACAATCGGCAATGGAAAAAAATGTGTATGCTTCACAGGTCCTGAAACCTTTTTTCTGCTGGTATAATGGTCAATTATTGAAGTGTATTTTCTGTAACAAGCAATAACCCAGACACCACTAAATACCAGCTTCTTTGTGGTTCTCTGAAATATTGAGGTGCTTTCATAGGAGACAGTGAAAGATGGGAGCATTCACAAGACTTGTGCAGTATTTTCCAGAGAATTTAGGTATTTTTGCTCAAGGCAAATGCTAAGAATCTGGGGGGTCATTTGTTCTAGTGTTGAGAGGATGGGTCTAAAATAAGTGACAAGCACTTCAATATACAGGTGAGGAAATTGTTGGTATACAGTGGGCCTGGCTCAAATATCTCTTCTGTTTTCCAACTCAAACATACAGTTTCTATTTTGCTAGCCTATTGGTTAAATTGCCAGTATGTCCATCAGTATTACCTGTGCTCATGCAGCTGGGTTATGGGAAGAGAGCCTTTGCCACAGCTTCTAACATGTATATTAAGCAAGCAAAATCTGTGGGCTTCATGGGTGTTCTGTCACAGTTGCCAGCATTTCTAAATATTACAACTGGGCTGCTTCTTTTTCCAGTTTTGTTAATGTTTGGTTTGTGCCTTATTTTTGGAGCAATAGATGATGGATACCTAAAGCTTAGGTACTCTCATAGTAGCTCTGGTTGGCTATCAACAGTAGGCACTATTTTAAGGAATAATTCTAAACTTAAAGCTTTTTCCCCTTTCTCTACTTCATACTCCCCAGTCTCCAGAATGTTTCTCAATCTAATTTTTTGTTGTATTTCAGGGAATACCTTGGAAAGCAGTTGCAGTCAGAACAACCTCAAACGGCCACCGCACGGAGCTAAACACTTTCATCAGTTCATGCTTATAACTATAGTATGTTTGTCTTTAATATCAAGGGAACAATGAAGTCATATGTTCTTTGCCTGCTACTAGCACATAAACTTTCCAGCTTTCCTCTGGTGATTTTGGCTTGGTAAAAATCTGTTTGTTCAACTAGTTCTGATGATTATGCCTGTTAGCTTCTTGTTATATTCTGAATGTATATGAGGAAATGTGGCTAATATATTGTGTTGTTTTATGTATTTATTCTCGTAATAAAGAATGTTATTAAAGGATATTCATTCTATGTTATAATCGGCCTAGAAAAACTGTTCTTTCCTTCAGTGGGTTATCACTGTTACCAATTCTCAAGAAAAGCCAATAATCCCTATATGTCCCCAGACAAATTAATAAAGCTTTCATTTGGTGTTCATAGGAAACACAATAGCCTGAGAAATGTTGATTATCAGTACTAAAAATATACCAAGTCTCAAAACAGTGTTAAAATTGTATATAAAAGCAAATGTGTGGGGTTAGAGACTACATTAAAAAAGTCTGGACATGAGAAAAGGAAAAGAAAACAAACTGTCCTTTAGTGAAAGCTGATACATTTAAAACTATTAGTCAAGCTGTATAGCATCAGAGTTAAGGCTGATCGGAGATCAGGGTGTTTTGGGTTTGTTTGGTTGTTGTTGTTTTTTTGTTTTTTTTTTAGGAACAAATGTTCAGGAACTGATGAACTTGGAATTTCGTGGAGTGTTTTTGTTATTGAAGGGACTTGTAAATGTTAGGGTTCTGGTGTCATTCTAAAATTCATTCCTTTATATAAGCCAGATAATTTGGTTATCAATCTTTTCTGTGTTTTGTAGCTCATAGTAAAAAAACCCCAAACATGTAAGCATCAATAAATCAAATATGATACTAGTTTGGCATGTGAAAACAGTCTTGTTGCATATATAGGAGCTTGGCCTCAGGCACTTGCAACACTAAACAGTGAATATTCTTGTGATTCATTTTAGAATGAAAATAAAAAAGGTGAGAGAACACAACTTGATTTCCTTAGTAGTTTTGTGTGTTGCAAGTCTCTGAGGAAGCTTAGGGTACTTTGTCATCAAGAAAGAAAAACAAGGTGGGAGAACTTTTCTTACTCAGCCTGTATTTTCATCATATATAACTATAATTTGATCACTGCTGCAATGGAGAAGGACACATTTAGCAGATGACAGCTTGATTTCTTGGCCTGCTTAATTAAAATTGGATTGTGTAGGTTAATGACTATTGCTTACCACTATATAAAGGCTGAAGCCTGGAAAGAATTAAACTGACTTTAGTTGGAGTGAGGGATTATGCCTTTGAAATGCATGCAGAGTGAAAGCTGGATTCTTAGCACCAAACATCTTGATCTTCAAATCAGATTCTTGTGTCACGCTTCTTGCTGTCTTAAGCATAGCCTAAGACTTACCTTGAAGGTGCTGTAAAAGGTTGCTCCTCTGGTTACAGCTGCACAGGAACCATGACAGGGCATTAACAGGGAAGGAACGTACTCCCATATTCAAAACAGAAGCTTGTGTTGCTTCCTTGTCTGAAGGGAACACTGAAACACTGCTTGGTAACAGGGTTTGGGTTTTAGTTGTATGCGTAAAGACAGTGAATGCTACCCATGTCAACTCCTTCTATTTTTCGGAAGCTATTGATAGCATGAAACAAAATTACTTACAGGGGTTGTCCTGAAACATCTAAATATTGTGTTCATGTATTGCATAATTAAAGTCTCTCTGTTGCTTTGCTAGTACTACTCTGTGCATAGTTTAATTCTTCATTATGTTCAACTCTGTTTAGTTAGCAATCTGTTGCAGGCAGAAGAAGGTGCATTTCAAGAAATGGTCATGATGTTTTGCTTAGATCAGTGTGCAGTACCAATAACCTTGGTGCCTGTGAAACCTGGAAGCCATGAGATTTCCAGCCCCATATGGTAACATTCAGGTGGCTCAAGAGTTGTGATCTTGGGGAGTTTGTGCCAACAACTGTACAGTAAGAAGCCTGGAAATTTGGGGGAGGGTGTTATGGAGGAACTTTTTGTGCAGCCAATAATTTGGACTATGAAGTTGGCAGAGTCGATTCCTGTAGGAATCGGAAGGCTCGCTATGTCCTTAGCAGTCCTGGGGAATCTTGACATAGCAGGGAGCTGCAGACTGTTTTCCAGGTGTAGCTTCTCCATCTCTCATTGTAGTCATAGAAGTCCAAGGTTGTCTAGTCCAAGATGCAATGAGCAGGCACATCTTCAACTAGATCAGGTTGCCCAGAACCACATCCAGCCTGGCCTTAAATGTCCTCCCACGGCAGGCACATACCTGTAGGTTCTGGAAGGCCTTGGACCCATGGTCCCAAGAGAGAAAATAGGGCAGAACTGTCCTGGAAGTCAAGAAACTTGACCAAACAATTTGTTAAATTTCAATTAATTCTTAAAACTTTCTGCTGCATCTGGTTTTGTCTGAGAAGTTATAATGAGCTTTAGCATTTGCTGCTGAGCACTGTTTTTGGTATTCACCTGTTTGTGTTGGCTCACTTAACTTGCTCAGCCCCATTCTTCCAAAATGTGGCGTGGGCTAGGTAGGCAGATGTCGTGGTGGCAGATTGAAGCTTCAGGGCTGTGTGGTGACAGTGTGGGTAGAGCTCAGTGTTAGGAAGAGAAGTGTGTGCCAGGAGCTTTCTTCCCTTTGGTGACACGAAGATTTGGAGATGACGAGAGATGAACTGCCCTGACTTCCTCACTTCTTGAGAGATAAGTTACCTTCTCCCAAATTAATGTAATCAATCTTTTCCTATGTATTTTTTGTCTATTTTCCTAATTTTTGTTTTCACTTCTATGTTGCAACCAAGAATAAATGCAATTTAAGTTTCCTATAATGAAAGTAACTGAGTCTTTGAAATCTTTCTAAGCTGGCTTTAAAGTTTTGCTTTGGAGGTTTCTTTTGCTTTTCATGATACGTCTGCTGCAATGATTTTCTTTAAACTATGGTCTTGGTCTGAAATCTAAAAAGGAGTAAGTTTGCAACTGTGAAAGGAATTTAAACCTGCAGGAGGGGTGGAGGGGAACCATGATGAAGAACAGTACTGACATCAGGAACTAAGGTAGGAAAATGCTTTAATCGTATGCCCACTACGTGTTTATTATTCCCACAAGCCATTTGAGATGCTAAGGCCTACAGCCGGATGAAGAGGAGGCCAGATCTTGGTTTTGGCCAGTGTGAGCTACTCTGCTAGCAGCAAAGCAGGGCTGAGCAGGGGATGGGTGTACCACACTGCATCAAACCTCTCTTCAGTATCTCATCAGAACTGCAAAACTGTCATTGTGCACCCGCATGAATGAAGGAAGATTGTCAACAGTGCCTACTCAGACCTGCTGGGTCATTATTTTAATTTTTTTTTTGATGAACATGACATGCTAGTTTTAGCCCAGTAGGTGACAAGGGGTCAGAAGACATCCCATTGACTCATCTCTATCCCAAAGCCTTTGCTTTTCTTTTTTGCAGCTTCTGCAGGGTAGTTGTGAGTTGTCTTTTTAGAACTATGTGCTTCATCAGAGTTGAGAACAGAGCTAGTGCTCTCATGATGATCGGGTATGTTATTAACTTGATTATATTCACTTCCTCTTAGAGTCCAAAAAATCTGAACTGCTGTTAAACTTCTATCATTCATTACTATTCAGATACCACAGAAAGCAGCAACATTGCTTGCAAATGTTAGATGTAGCATTTAGGGAGTTTACTGTGAACTTTTTTTACTTTGGGGTATGCATATTTCATTGGTACAGCCGATTCCAAGATGCATCAGCCACTGCTGAATACAAATGATATGCTAAAAACTCTCAGTACCCTTGGAGAATATTTTTTCATGACCTGTTCCTTGGCTTTACTGCTGCTTGTAAGCTAGTTACTGTATGATAAGGAGCCTCATAAAACCCAGTAATGGAATAAGGGCTGATTGCTATGCAGAGTGTCTTGTTTCTGTTACTTGGTTGTATCCAAGAACATTTCTCTGCAAAAGCTAAAACTGCAGAAGGGAACGGTACAGTTTTTCAAGAGTTAATCTTTCATGCCATTATGTGCCCACTCATGGTATAATTTTTCCAAGGCTCTTCAGTTAGTTTCCCTTGTCTGGAATCTGTGAGAGACAATACTATCAAGCTGAAAATTTAAATAACTTTTTCAGTGTCATCATAAGCTGTGTTAAAAAGGCTGCATGGATAGATCCAGCTGTGCCAAAATATGGGCAAAGAAATCGAGTAGCTGGTTGTGGCAACAACAGTTAAATCATATTGATTTGGAAACCACAAAAGTGCTAGAGTACCAGATTACTGTGTAGCAAGAAAATGTGATAAATTGCAGGCTTATGGATAACTTCCATGAAAAGAAAGTGTGCAAAATGACACTATTCTGTCAGGTTCAGGTATTTCAAGTACATCTTCAGGTTATGAATTATGTCAGTGTAGG